TGCGTCACAACAGCGCACATGTGCGTCACAACAGCGCACATGTGCGTCACAACAGCGCACATGTGCGTCACAACAGCGCACATGTGCGTCACAACAGAGCACATGTGAGTCATGACATACGGGTAGTCACAACAAGCATCATGCAGTTTTATTTTTTTATTTTTACAAAGGTGCTTTTCTTCATACGCTTTTCTAGACGTCTCAACCCTAAGTGATATCTTGATAAAAATATCATATGTTGAAATATTTATCTAAATGTACTCGTATATATACATTCCCACATGTTAACCTCCTGAAGATGCTCTGTAATGTTGAGAACGCGTCATCTGATTTATCAATATCTCATTTGGACAAATTTCATGACCCATTGACCCAATTATCTGACAGCTGTAGAATCTAAATTTTAAAGAAAGGAAGATACTAAACTCCAGAGCCGACGATGGGTGGTACGCCCCCGATCTCTGCCGCGTCTTCGTCGTGGGGGTACCCTGGCCTACGCGTCGGCCGGTTACCCGGCATTCACGTGGGCCAGGCCAAACGGCAGAGGCCCCCCCGCCCGGATCGCTACCGGACGGAGGCTCCTTCACCTTTTCTGCTAAGGGCAGGGGAACCTCGGCCTCCTCTTCCCCTGTCTCTTATACACATCTAGATGTGTATAAGAGACAGCTCGAAGGCATTCGACAGTGTCGACCACCCCCTCCTCCTGAGCATGATCGCGGCCTCGGACCTAAATCACAACCTGGTCCGATGGCTGTGCTGCTACCTCCGAGGCAGGCAGGCATCCTGCCTCTATCTCCGGACCCAATCGCCTTGCAGAGCTATCCACTCAGGCGTTCCCCAGGGCTCGGTGATCTCGCCAGCCCTCTTTAATCACTTCATTTCAGACATCCCAGTACCTACCACCAATATTGCCTTATACGCGGACGACCTTACCATCTTCGTGTCGTCCCCGAGACTCGACGATGCGGAGGCCGAGCTTGCCTCGCTCCTTCGTAACGTCTCCGACTGGTCGGCAGTCAAGAAACTGGCCGTGGCTCCTGGCAAGTCCTCGGTCACGCTCTTCAGCCCAGATACGCACCAATCCCGTTACCACCCAGCTGCCACCATCTGCAATGGCATCATCCCACTGGACAAAACCCCCAAAATCCTAGGCGTCACCTGGGATACACACTTCACTTTCTCCCCGCATGCAAGAGCCATTGCCACAAAAGCGACGGGTTCTCTTCGTATACTAAAAACCCTTGCTGGCAACAACTGGGGCTTCTCCAAGGAGGACATAGTTGCCACCTACCGTACCATCACGCGCCCAATTCTCAACTACGCGGCCCCCATCTGGTACCCTGTTGCCTCCCGCACAGCTGTTGCCAGCCTGCAGACTATACAGAATACCGCATTGAGACTAACCACCGGCTGCCTCAAAATGGCCCTGATCTCCCATCTGCACCAGGAGACCGGCGTCCTCCCTTTGCCCGAGCACCTGGACCTGGCCTGCGCCCAGTTCCTCGCCAGCGCCCTCTAGTCCTCCCACGCCTCCTTTCGCATGGTTTCTGTCCCTCTGGGTGACCGCCCTATGAAAGCCTCGATACAGTCAAGGTTCGGCCATCTTGTCACACCACTCTTGACAAATGGTATCCTGCCTGCCGGGACATACGGAGAAGCCTAGCGGTCTCTCCGCAGGGAGATCACCTCCCGCGTGGCGGCGACTGCCGCCATAAACGCAGTCCTTGCTGCCCCGCCGCCGCCGATTGCTTCAGCGGAGACCTCTCTCCCTCGCCCCTACCGCTCAGCGTTATCCCAGCTCCGCTCGGGATACTGCAGCTCCCTGGCGTCCTATTCCGCCAGGATCGGACGCTCCCCTAGCTCCGCCTGCCCGGAATGCGGGGACCCCTTCCAATCCGTTCAGCACCTCTTCGTCTGCCCCGCCTTCCCCACGTCTCTCAGCGTCTCCTCACTGTGGGACAGCCCCGTGGAGGTAGCGGCTTTCCTAGTCACCCTCCCTGCCTTCGCCCACCTCCCTCCTCTTCCGGTTCCGGCCCCAAGCCCGCCACCAGAGCCTCCCCCCCGGCGTGCGTGACGGTCGCAACCAACAACAACAACAACATGGGTGGTACTGCCAGCATAGCCTTGGGCTGTTGTCTATACACTAACTCTGGACACGTGTTACCCGGGGGAAAATCTCAACGTATAAATATCAAGATAATTCAGTGTTTCTAATACTAATGAGGACAACGCACATCCCAATACTTGTCCTGGAGGTGCGTGTAAGCAAGAGGCAGGGCAGCGTAGCACCACTCAGCCTCCCCCAGGTCAGGGGAATGCAGGAAGTTTGTGCGCACAAAAGACTCCAGGTGGGGAGGCAGAGACAAGGCAGCTTCATCACCGCAATATGTCTGTAAATATACATATACACTATAACTTACTACATAGTTTACCTGAGTGTAAACTCAATTTATTGGTTTACAAGTAATGTTAGAAGAATGCTCATAATCAATTCCAAACACAGGTATTGCAAGTGCATCAATGAGAGGTATTTAGTATTAGTAATAAGGAAAATCTTAGTCATGTTCATTGTGACACAAGAAACTTGTTACTCCAAGGGTTATACATTGACAGCAAGATTTATTCAGGCTGATAATTCACAGAGGCGTTTTATATAACATTATTTCACATCAATCTTGGTTTTTCCGAGCCCAATTGTTGAATAAAAAAAATATTTTACATAAACTAATGAAAAATTATAGCAGGCACAATAATGATAAGGTTATCATAAGTAATGATAAGGTTTTAGCTTATAATAAATGTAATGGTGAATTTTTAAACAAGTATTTTCACTGCAGTGTGAAATCAAGTACTTGCACCTGAATAAAGTTAAAAATTTAGAATCTTTGGTGAAATTTTAATGCAGTTTAGTTCAAATTATTCTGAACTAAACAAGCTAGTTTAGTTCAGAGAATATAAATGACATGTTTGCAGCTTTGCATTTTATATTATTACAATGAAATTATCATAACCTTGTAACACCAGAGCTGGAAGAAGAGAAAAGGTGCAACCACGCAGAAGGAGGCCACAAAGAGAGGCACCAATGTGTAGTTGAAGGTTAGTAGAACAATGAGAACCATTGATACTGCATTTGATGAATCACTTCGAGCACTTCTCAGCCTGAAAAAATGACTAGATTGAAAAATCCAAGTAAATAATTGAATTTTATTACACATTTATCATAATTCAAAATCTGAAGCCCTGAAAGTTCAATAAACTAATTTCCAGTTAGCTTTTATTTGAATGAACAGACAAGACATCATCCATTGGAAAGCTATTTGTGTAAATGAGTACAATACTTGAGATCAAAATTGGCATCATTGCACCCACATGAGAGGGAACACCACTGCTACTTTGACATTGAACTCCTTACCTATAATAATAAGCAGAACAGTGCTGGAGTTTGTGGTAGAGTACAAATCCAATGTTAACAAGTCCATTGGAGCGAGCACAGCCAGCAGCACCAAAGAGTGATGGCGCGGCCCAGCCACCTCCACGTTCATAGTTCAGTAATGCACAAAATGTGCAAAGAGCAAAGAGAGATTCCGAGTATGGGGCAGAGAAGAAAATGCTTGCTGGATTGATGCAAAAAAGTATTGATGCTCTGTAGGCCAGTACTTCATTACCCAAAACTTCTCCGCTGAGCTGGTAAAAAATACCACTAGCTATGATGAATAAACAAAAATTTAAAATAACAGCTACAAGGATAATTGTTGTGTGGTAGTTTATGATGAAATGCAGTGGTATGAATGCCACATTGGCCAAGAGCCTGACAAGGAGTGGATACAAAGGGAAGAATGCCAAAGTATTTTCATGAGTGTACCCATACTCGGCTATGTGTATGAAATATTGAGCATCCCAGCGCACCAGGCCCCCTATGAGACCTGTGACAATTTGGTCCACTATGCCCACAGAAAGATCTGGATCAGGTGGAGACACAAATGCATCTGCTTCATGATCAGGAATGATCCAATTGGCTACCACCTGTAAAATAAAATTAGATAAGAAAATTTGATCAATTTGTTCACTTAAGAATAAAGAACACAGAAGATGTTTCTTGGACCTAATTGCCAAGTATTCCACAGCAGGATTTGTAGGGTTCTATTCAAAAAGGAAATTGGAGTACTATTTCCCACCAAAAAATTCAAATTTTTTAATATATAACAATGATAAGTAATAAATAACTCATTAGGCTGATTAGAAGTGTATATTTGTATCCTAAAACTTAAAAAATGTTTAAAATTAAGCATAGTTCAAAATATTATCTTTCTATTCAGAGCAAAAAGGCATGAAAGTAATACCTGGCTTGTAAGTATCTCTTAAGATATATATTCAATACAATTTGGAAAGGAAAAGGAGGAAGAATTTTGCCAGCCCACTTTTCCTTGTTCAAATTATAAATCAAAAAGTTTTAACAAAAACATAATTGGATTCAATCACAGAAAACTCATTCAAAAGCATTGAGAAGAGCTAAATTAGTTCAAGCACATTTAGATCAATCAACATTTTGTCTTATGGAGAACAAAAATCACTATACCATAAGCAGAGCTGGGCAGCGCTACTTGGAAATGTAGCGGCGCTACCACTACATGATCTAAATGTAGCGGGCGCTACCGCTACCGCTACACCCACTAGATTGTAATGGGCGCTACAGCTACCGCTAAAGTAAAATGTAGCGCACTACATTAGCCGCTACAATGACCAAAATTATTGGAAATCTCTAAATATTTATTATTCTGCTATTGAGATTTACTCATTAACATTTAAAGATAATAAAACATTTTTAAAACATATCAATGCAACTTTATTGCAATTAACCTAACCGAACTAGTATGGGTTACCCCAGGATTAGATACAGTAAATAAAAGTTACAGGTATTTTCATGTTTTACCTTCCCTACATGGATGTGAACTTTAATCTACCAATCTAAGAAATTATCCACATATACATATAAAAATCAGTCTTTTTTTGTATATATACGTATGTGGATTATTTTTGAGATTGGTAGATTAAAGTAGACATCCATGTAGGGAAGGTGCAACATAAAAATAACTGTGTAAAAATAACTGTAAGCAAACTGAAAGATGAAGAAAACCTGTAACTGGTAGCAACTTAACAAGTAACAACTTAACAAGTAACAACACTACACCAAAATCTTTCGTACAGTTTTATTCTGTAATTTATATTATGTATGTATCATGCTGGTTTTTAAATAATATTTAATACTATTAAGGGGACCGACTACCCTAAAAATCGGAAATTTTTGCTTTACCGTTTTCTTGACTCATTTTGAAGCTGCTGGAAAGGCGCGTCTAACGCAGTTTACCGCATGTCTGTGCGTGCTATAATTCTTGAGTAAGACAATTTTAAAAATATATATATATATATGAACATTTTTAACAATATGTACAAAGATTTATTTGGATTAAATCTGTATATATAGATCATCACTCTCGTTAATTACAAAGAGTTTGCACTCGTTTGAAAGCTACAAACGAGACGCGTTCAACAAAGCTACTACCATAGATGTACATGCAATACTTTTTTGTGTAATGCAGTCTAAAACTTTTATAAAAGGATCATTTTATATCATTATTTACAAATAAATGGTATTTATATGTCATTATTTAGGTTAATTGCAAAGTGTTTGCACTCGTTTGAAAGCTACAAACAAGACACGTTTAACAAAGCTACTACCATGGATGTTCATGCAATAGTTTTTGCGTAATGCAGTTGTAAAGTTATGTAAAATGAATATTTTATATATATATTTATATATAAAAAGTCCCATTTATAGTCTATTATTCACGTTAAATTGAACATAAATAGGTCTTAAGACGCATGCTGGTACCTTGAATGCAAATAATTGGCAATGGGAAAGCTTGGGCTACAATATCATGACTTTTTGGGCATATTCTTCTGTTTTCAATGAATTTTACTTTATTTGGCTCCCCTGATTAATTTAAAAATCCAAAAAAATGTTATCTTAAAAAAATTATAACTCCAACAGTTTTCAAGCTATGGCAATGAGAGACATACCATTCGATTTGTAAAAACAATACCTAGCGACTTTAGAAGTCTTTTTTATAATATGTGCATGGATTGACTTATATATGTGAGGGGGAGGAAGGGTGGGGGGTAAAAATGTGAAAAAATGGGAAGAATGCGAAAAAAAAAAAGAGGAAAATAAAAAATCTGGGCTCTACAGTCGCTAGATATTGTTGTTACAAATTGAATGATATGTGTCTCGACATTGTAGCATGTGATTTGCAAAAGTTATAAATTTTTTAGAGTACCCCTTATTTGCCGTTTTCTATTAATTCCACGTTTTCTTTAATTTTTTTTAATTTACATGAACAAAAAGGTCTTAGATTTCTGTTTTACGTATGTGTACCAAGTTTCAAAACGATCCGTCTGTAAACAAAAAAGTTTTGTTGGAGGGTAGGCAGTCCCCTTAAGTAAAATCTAAAGGCTTTATCTATAAATGTAGCGGTAGCGCTGTAGCAGCAAAATCTCGTATTGCTACTTAAATATGTAGCGGGCGCTACTGCTACCGCTACATTGCCTTAAATGTAGAGCCGCTACCGCTACTGAAAATGTAGCGGCCGCTACATGTAGCGCGCTACTGCCCACCTCTGACCATAAGCATTGTTTATATCAATCAAGAACACTAATAACATTTTTTTGAAATAATTACCTGAAATTGTCCTTATGACCAAAGTCCTCAATCACTTTACATATTATATCAGACAAGAGGATTTCAATTCAGTGACTATGTACCTGAATTCCAAGGATCACAATCCTGGAGAGCAGAGCAAAGTAGAAGATTTTTTCTTGTAAGCTGTAGTAGGATTTCATGGTAGATGTAAATTTAATTCTGTTCAATGCATTTCATACATTTAAAATCAGGATCATGTAAAGTATATAAATGCTACAAATAATGTTTAGGAGCATTAGACTTACTTAATTAAAATACTTCATTATTTCAGGTTTTAGCTCACTAATCAGTACTACTTTTCTGCAACATTGATAAGAGAGAAATTCAGTTATGTTCACAACAATATTAGATTTACCTTGCTCAGCAACAAAAATGTTACTTAACAAAAAATTAATGCATCATTGGTCATCATAAAATTGTGCAGAGAATGTCATAGATAGAATTGTAGTTGTAAATTGTGCAACATAAAATGAAAAGTAATTAACCTAAACTATGATTTATTTCTTCAAAAAATATGATGGTTGTCACTAGAATATTCCTTTCTGTTTCAGGTATGTTTTTTACTAACTTTTTTTAGCGCATTTTCTCATTTATGAAAAAAATGCACTAGTGTGCTCGCCATGTCCGTCTGTCCGTGACTTCACGTTTTCGTCAATGAGAAAATGCGCTCTCTATCACTCACTGCAGTGAGTACTGAGTTATATTTTTTGTTATAGTGAATTCACTTGACCCAATTAAAATGGTGTGAAATTACAAGCCGCCCTGTAAGCTCACATATACAGAAAAGTGCTATATGACTGCTGATATTGTTACTGTAGGTTAAATTAGGCTACTGTGTAGCCCAACCTTCATGTATTTCTTCATCATTAATCATATTTATTCAGTGCTCAATCCAACTCAATTTAAATTAAATTCAATATTTTTATCTTTTTCAGTGTAGATGACTTAAGTACAATTTGCAGACTTGAAGTAAAGTATCTCGAAGTAGGTATTCCTACTCAGTATCTCAGCCTGGGCACTCAGTTGCACTGGTGAGTGGCATTGTAATTTATTTCATTTATTCATTGATAATTTAGGTTAAATTTTATCTTAGTAATTATTTTAATTTTATTGATGTTGATCAGCAAATTGTGATTTCATTTGCTTATGTTCACTTGTATTTTACTTTTTTCAAACCTTATCTAAAGATTTCTTTATGTTAATAGTTACAGCATGGACAGAAGCTGCTATCCCTTGAGGGAGTTAAGGGTTCTTGAATTTCTAATATTTTGCATCCTATCAGGTTATCAGTCATTCATGATTTGCATTTTTATTCTGTTCTTTCTGTTTGCAGTTACATCTGCTCATCTCCACCTGTCCATGCTTCTTATATGCAACTAACTAGCACACTTTCATTACACTTTCCAAATTAATTCAATCATTACATTTGCAATTTTATCAAGTTATATGTTCATTTACTGTCCCATATTTTAATTCATTATATATTAGAACTAGTCTTTCATTTTCCTTTATTCAGAATAGGGTTGTTGCCATTTAGTTAAATAAGCAGATAACAGGTTTATCTCACCTGCAGTACGAGACATTTTAGACCCAGCAACAATATGAAGCTTACAGTGGACAAGGCCGTTATAAATGCTCTATGGCATGTTCATGGATATGGTAATATCACATCAATAATACGGTAATGTATGGATATGGTAATATCATATTGATAAAAAAAAAAACAAGTAAAAATCACAGAAATTGTCATTTATTCTACATCATCTACAATGGAAAAGGAGGACTTCAGATTACTGTTTGTAACAGATAAGTACACTCTGCATGCTCAAACATTTTAAAACTAAGTTTTATTTCAAGTGTCCCAGATTACCCCATTCCCAGGGGTAATTCAGGACGCGCCCAATAGTATCCACAGTGTTGCATGTAGCACATTGATCAGAGTCGATCAGGTTGAATTTGTACATTTGGCTTCTGACACCAGAATGTCCAATTCTGAGTTGGGTGGCAGCACACTCTAGTCTGCAGGACTTCAGGCAGAGCCAGGGGTGCAGTCAGGGTTCTTCCATGATATTGCTCAAAACAGTTCCCTTCTAGGAGCAAGCAACAAATGTCTCCCATGTTCTGGTCCAGTGCTCATGTAGCTTGCCTCTTGGGACAGTGAGGCACTCTTCTAAGCTCAATGTACTCACAGCTGAGACTCTGAGTGGACATTGAGATGACCCATATTGGCTGCCCTGTTTGCTACTTCATTACCCTTTACACCACAGTGCCCTTGCACCCATTGTAAGACTGTGGGGGCTTGTCTTTTGTGAATTAACTCCTAAATTCTGAAAGCATAGGTACTCCCTGTGTTAAAGGCTGATTATGTTCTGGATGGCTTGCAATGCTGACTGAAAATCTGATAATAGCAGAATATTTTCTGAGCTGAGCCTTGGGTCCAGCAGCAGAACTGCAAGGCCTTGAGTATTGCAAAGAGTTTGGAACCAATGACTGTATGGGAAGGGTTCAACTTCAATGTAGTGGCACTGTGAAGACTTGGTATATACAAGGCTACAGCTGTAGAACCATTGCTATGCTTTGATCGATCAGTGTAAATGTGCACATGGGGTGGAAAATTTTCAAGGTAGTATTAGTTGAACATACCCCTATTAATGACTGAGGGAGCATCATGGCTGCAGGTGCTTTGGGTGGAAAGCAGAATGTGATGTTCCAAACACATGTGCGCTGTGAATCTACTAAAGGTGTCTAGGTATTGACATCTGTAGCATCTGAGTGGGGGGGGTTGTAGATTATTATTTTGTATGTAATAAAACCAAAGAGCATAGGGGAGTTTGAGTTAGCATTAGCAATAGGGAGTTTGAAGGGAGTTGGCTCCCTTCAAAGTCCACTTTTAGGACCAGGGACTCTTCTTCTTTGTTAAAATTTTGGCAGTTGGGTGATCTTAACTATTTTGCAGGATTGTTTCTATAGGTCTAAAAGCTTTTCTAAGTTGACATCCAGGCCTACTGGTTGAATGACACATGAGCATGAGATGCCCAGATTTAATGCTGGTCTGTAACATTTGATTATCCATTTTCCATGCTTGGTTGTTGAAAGTGGTTTTTCCTGTTCCTGTTTTTTCAGAGGGTTTAAATTGTGCCAGAGGGCAATAATGTTGTGCCATTTATTAATGCGTACATCATGGATTGAGATACCCTGAATTATTTTTTGTAGTTATCTAGCAACTGTGATGGGGTCCAAGGAAATTTTTTTAGTGTCAGGAGACAGCTGCTTGATATTACTGTGTTGTTTTCAGATGATTTATCACTAGCATTTGTTGAAAATGCTTTATACTGTGTTAGTTAGGCAGACAGTTTAGGAATTTTGTTGATGTTAGTGCTAGAAGGAGTGACTGTTGATCTGATTGAGTTGTCTGATTCTTGTTCAGATTCTGTACCAATTTGTTGTTTGTGCCTGCTGGGTTTAGCCATTAGCAGATTAGGAAACCTTTCTTGCAAGCAGGGTTGGCAATGATTAAATCAAAATGATTAAATCATGTGATTAAATCACTTGATTTTTTTATAAAAAAAATAATGATTTTTTATTTTTTTTTATTTTTTCAATTTTTTCATATATTTAAATATATTGAGTAGCAGTCTTTAATTTATATTGAGGTATTGTTATTCATGGTTTAGTATAAATGTACTATGAATGACAAATTGGTACATAAACTTGTTGCCTTTAGTGTGTATTAGGTTCCAATAAATTGAATGTTTTTGGTACAGAGACATCAAGTGTGCAATACATTGTACGTAGCTAGCAGCTTAGCTAATTCTTATAAGGCTATAAGTAGTCTTTAACTATTTGACTATTTGTTATATATTGATTACAATATACAATTTAAATATGTTAGCTAGCTTATACAGGGTGGGGCAGAACTGATTGAACAGTTTTGAGGCGAAATAAGAGTAATGGAGGTTCATAAAGAAGAAAGTTTATTTTCCTCGAGATTAGCATAACATACCATTTAAAATGCTTATGTTTTGAAAACCATATCAGGAAGATGGTGTTTGTTAGCTGCATCACACTGTTAGAGTTGTTCTTGGAAGTTTCCTGCAGCACGTTCACACATATGGCGAGGTATGGCCATAACCTCTGCTGCAATAATCTGTTCCCTTAGCTGTGGTAGGGTGTGAGGGCGACTTCTTAACCCCTTTCTTTTAGATGTCCCCAAAGAAAGAAATTGCAAATGCTCAAATCAGGTGATCTCGCAGGCCACTGTTAATCACCCCTCAGACACACCAGACGTCCAAGGAATGTGTTTCAAAACATTGAGTGACATTCGGGCTGTGTGAGCTGTAGCCCCATCCTGCTGGAACCACACATTTCCCAATGCTTCATTTTCAACAATGGTTTCCATCATGGGCAGCAAGAAATTTTGCATCATTGCAGCATAGCAATTGGAGTTCACTGTTACGGTTACTCCCTCCTCTGAGAACGACTCCAGCAGTGTGTTGCAGCTAACGGCCCTCATCTTCCAGATATTGTTTTCAAAACATAAGTATTCTAAATGGTACCTATGTTATGCTAGCCTCTAGGAAAATAAACTTTCTTCTTATGTCCCTCCATTACTCTTTTATTTTACCTCAAAACTGCTCAATCGGTTCTGCCCCACCCTGTATATTGAGAGGTTGCAAGTGTAATGACCTATTAGGCAATTAGAAAGATTTTCCACCCTAATACGAGTATTCTAATCAAAATATTTAATTTCAATCCTTAAATATGTGAATTGAAAACTAGAAACAAAACAATTACAATTATAAGACTATATATAAAATAATAAAATGTAGTGAATGGATATAAAATATTTGAATTGTGCACAAGTTTATTTCAAACAGTGTTAGCTTTTCTCATAACTTAAGTCTCGTTTCAAGTCGTATGAGGTTTGTTTGGTTATCGTTCAGTTTATGTTAAGTATTGGTTTAATGGTCTGAATTGAATGGGGACAGTGCAGTCAGTCACTCAGTCTCTACTAGTCAGTGTGTATAGAGGGTAGAGTCTGGTAGATTTATAGGATATAAAACTAGTAGATCTATTGATAGTGCTGTGCACTGTGCTGTCAGCTACCTATCTGTTATGTGACTTCAATGTTTAGAAGATCTGCATTCCTGAAGTGTTTTTGTATATTGAAGCCAGTTAAATGGTCAATATTTAGCTTGTTACCTTGCTCCATACAAACTTTACAAAGCTAATGAATAGACTTATCAATAATTGTTTACCCAAAAATCCCTAAGTGGTAAACACCACCTTGGCCTGTTGGC